CACTGAAATAACACCTCCTTTGTAATACCTTTTGATGACTTCCATAAGACACAATAATTCAAATGTTTAGACGCCCCACAAAGCATGAGAAATTTGAGATATGTCTTTCAAGGAAAAGTACATCGTGTACACTCAAGGTTTAATTTGAGTTTTTTTTAAATTTTGAGGAAAAAAAATAAAGGGTTTTCAGGAATTTTATTTAAAAAACACAACAACAAATCATGTTGCCATGGATGTTGACATGTGTTGGTTTTTTTGTTGTTGTTGTTTTGTTCGTTTTTAAAGATGTGCTGCTACGTTGAGTTGGTGAAACAAAGAAAAGACAACTGTCGGCATTTAAGGACACATATAAAAAAAAAACACAAAAAAAGTCGTGAGACATGCTTCGCGAACGGGAAGTCGGGACGTATTCAGTTTTGGTTTGTCAACAAACGTGTTACCCTTTCAAATAATCCCCAACATTAATCAGTGAAAGATCCACTCCATTAATCAGTAGAAGAAAAAAAATAATCCCACCATGAACCTGTGCAAGCAGCGAGTCAATGCAGAATGTAACATTTGAAGGCAAGCAGCGACTCAATGCAGAATGTAACATTTAAAGGCAACCAGCGAGTCAATGCAGAATGTAACATTTGAAGGCAACCAGCGAGTCAATGCAGGATGTAACATTTGAAGGCAAGCAGCGAGTCAATGCAGAATGTAACATTTGAAGGCAACCAGCGAGTCAATGCAGGATGTAACATTTGAAGGCAACCAGCGAGTCAATGCAGGATGTAACATTTGAAGGCAAGCAGCGAGTCAATGCAGAATGTAACATTTGAAGGCAACCAGCGAGTCAATGCAGGATGTAACATTTGAAGGAAACATTGGAAGGCAACCAGCGAGTCAATGCAGAATGTAAAATTTGAAGGCAACCAGCGAGTCAATGCAGGATGTAACATTTGAAGGCAAGCAGCGATCCATGCAGAATGTAACATTTGAAGGCAACCAGCGAGTCAATGCAGAATGTAACATTTAAAGGCAACCAGCGAGTCAATGCAGAATGTAACATTTGAAGGCAAGCAGCGAGTCAATGCAGGATGTAACATTTGAAGGCAAGCAGCGAGTCAATGCAGAATGTAACATTTGAAGGCAAGCAGCGAGTCAATGCAGAATGTAACATTTGAAGGGACACAACTTACAAGTAATTAACAACTTTAAAAAAAAAAAAAATTATATTATTTTTGTTGTTGTTGTTTGAAATACTATGTTGGTATTGTGAGTTCAAAAATGTTAAACATACGAACTTCTACGAGTATGCAGATTAAATTGTGTAATGCTCCTCTACCTTTGTAGAATCCCTGCATGACAAACAGTCCTTAGAAGGAAACGGAACAGTTCTTAGAAGCAAGTGGAACAGTCCTGAGAAGCAAACGGAACAGTCGTTAGAAGCAAGTGGAACAGTCCTGAGAAGCAAACGGAACAGTCGTTAGAAGCAAGTGGAACAGTCCTGAGAAGCAAACGGAACAGTCGTTAGAAGCAAACGGAACAGTCCTTAGAAGCAAACGGAACAGTCCTTAGAAGCAAACGGAACAGTCCTTAGAAGCAAGTGGAACAGTCATTAGAAGCAAACGGAACAGTCCTTAGAAGCAAGTGGAACAGTCCTTAGATGCAAGTGGAACAGTCCTTAGAAGCAAGTGGAACAGTCCTTAGAAGCAAACGGAACAGTCCTTAGAAGCGAACGGAACAGTCCTTAGAAGCAAGTGGAACAGTCCTTAGAAGCAAACGGAACAGTCCTTAGAAGCAAACGGAACAGTCCTTAGAAGCAAGTGGAACAGTCCTTAGAAGCAAACGGAACAGTCCTTAGAAGCAAGTGGAACAGTCCTTAGAAGCAAGTGGAACAGTCCTTAGAAGCAAACGGAACAGTCCTTAGAAGCAAACGGAACAGTCCTTAGAAGCAAGTGGAACAGTCCTTAGAAGCAAACGGAACAGTCCTTAGAAGCAAGTGGAACAGTCCTTAGAAGCAAGTGGAACAGTCCTTAGAAGCAAACGGAACAGTCCTTAGAAGCAAACGGAACAGTCCTTAGAAGCAAGTGGAACAGTCCTTAGAAGCAAACGGAACAGTCCTTAGAAGCAAGTGGAACAGTCCTTAGAAGCAAGTGGAACAGTCCTTAGAAGCAAACGGAACAGTCCTTAGAAGCAAACGGAACAGTCCTTAGAAGCAAGTGGAACAGTCCTTAGAAGCAAACGGAACAGTCCTTAGAAGCAAGTGGAACAGTCCTTAGAAGCAAACGGAACAGTCCTTAGAGGCAAGTGGAACAGTCGTTAGAAGCAAGTGGAACAGTCCTTAGAAGCAAACGGAACAGTCCTTAGAAGCGAACTGAACAGTCCTTAGAAGCAAGTGGAACAGTCCTTAGAAGCAAACGGAACAGTCCTTAGAAGCAAACGGAACAGTCCTTAGAAGAGAACGGAACAGTCCTTAGAAGCAAGTGGAACAGTCCTTAGAAGCAAACGGAACAGTCCTTAGAAGTGAACGGAACAGTCCTTAGAAGCAAGTGGAACAGTTTTCTTGGAACACAAATTAAATGCACAGAATAAATAATCAACATAAGCTTTTTTATCATATGATAAGATATAGTCAGTCTTTATTGAAATGGGGGTTACGGGTGTGGGGGGGGGGTGGATTTAACCCAGTGCCCCACATCGGTACACAGTCAAACTAAGTTAACATGGGTAAAAGTAGGTAGCTACAAGGATGGGAGCAAATATCAAAATAAAACTAAGAAATAAAGTAAGTTAAATACTTTCAAAATCTTCTTGCCATGATTCTGCCATTCACACAGGCAGTTCAACGTTGGATAGAAGATGTCTGCAATGAAACTATTCCAATTTCCCAATAGCAATACCAATAGTTCGAAACAAAAAACTAAAGTAGCTGCACACTAGATATGAGTTAAATAGACATAGAAATTTCATCAGTTGAATCAATATGTCTATTCATTCAATAAGTCTATTCATTCAAAAAGTCTATTCATTCAAACAATTTATTCATTCAATGTCCATTCATTCAATGTCTATTCATTGACAAAAAATATACAAATATTTTTAATATTAAAAAATAAGATTTTTTAAGTTTGAATATGCAATATTAAAAGATAATCCCAATAAAACATTTTTTTGTTTGTTCAAAAAATTCAAATCTACAAACGGAATCTGTCTACACATTTCAAAATATAAAAAACCAAAAATATGGATTAAAACGATTCAATCCTAAAACAATATGTCTGCCCACAGTGTTGAACACATACAATAAAATAAAGTTATATTTTAAATATAAGGGAAAAGTTGGATGTAAATTCACAATATTTCTGAAACAATTTAAAGGTGATCACATGACTAGACTCTATAAATTGTTTCAGGTAACAGATCAAGAGCAAATCCTAATACAATAACACAAATATTTTAGCTGTACTGTCAGCACATATTTTT